CTCCAAAATGAACAATCGTCCATCCTCCACTGTGCCACAATTCATCAATATTGCTGCAATCATTGTGTAGAAATAATTATGCAAATTTATTTCCTCCCTAACAGAAAGAAACCATCGCACGAAATTTGAAAAATTATAAAATAAAAGCTCTCGAGATGATTCATCACTGAGCATTAAATAATACTAATAAATCAGTTCTGTAAGAAATGAACATACATTCGTTTACTTTTGTTGTCGCTATTAATCGACCATCTTCCCATAACTCATCAGCTTTATAATCTGTGGTAATCTCCGCAGCTAAAATTAATGCCACGACAAATCTGATAAAAGTTATTGGACGAATAGGAGGGAACCCTTGAGATTTTGAATGGTTATTACTATCATCTTACTATCACCTTATGGTTATTACTATCATTACTATCATCTTAGAAAACACAATTTCTTATTGTCATGGGCTGATAAGCCGGAAAAAAAAATCGTCTAAACTTATCAGCCCATAACAATAAGGAATTGTATTTTCTACTTTTCAGATTTTTCCCATTAAAAATGCTAAAGTAATAAAGTAATTCTTGTTTTATCTACTGCAAAAGTAAAGTCAGTGGTACTCGAATTGGTGAAATTACCGTCTAATGCGGCCTTACGAGAAATCCCAAATAAAATAACTGGAATGACGCAAAATGGAATATATACATAGCTAATTTATATTGGTTATCAAACTAAGTGATAAAAAAAGTGAGATGCATACCTACTGCTCCAACTCCCATAGCTGCTGCTTGCATAGGTACTGGTTGCATAGGCGCTGCTCCCATTGGTGCTCCTGGGTTTTGGTTGGCAGCTTGGCAATAAATGATAAAAGCAATATGTACTATCAACTTTGCCATATTTAAAATCGTTTGTATAATAATTTCGATGTTCTCTAAAGACAAATTTTGCTTTGTTGAAAAATAGCACCCATTTTAAAAAGAATCTTAATTAAACGCTTAATGACATTTTCTAAAGGATTGGAAATGAAAAATGTGCAGGAAGTGGAAATTTAGAAAATTCAACATTTTATTAACGGACTTTTATTTCTTTTTACGGTTAATAGATTTTCAAGCTCTAATCAATTTTCAGAAATCGTTTCAATCAAAACCTGCCACACTTATCTTCTGGAAATACCGCAGATCTATTTTATGACATTCAGAAAAATAACAACTGCAAAAGACTTCGAAAAATTAACATTTAAATCATCTTTTATTATTGAATTCGACCTCTCACTTCACATGACACAATAATGATCTGGTAAATGTCATCTGGCAAGTTACCGGCGTGTTACCAGGATAAGTAGTCGGCATGTTAATCTTATAATTCATTATAATACGGTGAATTTATTCTTGAACAGTATATCATTTAGATGAACATGTTCTGAAGCAATGCCGAGAAGATCGACATTAACGCACAAAATCTTCATTGGTAAACACAATATCTAAGAATATTTTTTAAAGACTGAAAGAGCAATGCGGAATCATTAACGGTTGAAAACCTGACAACAGCGCTTTTTATACTTCCGCAGCGGAATCTTGGTGTACATCCTTCACGATATTAGTGGATCAGTGCTCTATTTTTCGCATTTTTCGAGTGCAACAGAAGAAGAACTGACTGGGGTAAACAGTGATAACGGGGTTTTGAATATCCAGTTTTACTTTCCAACGATAACAATGTATTGTCAATCTTTTGTACAATTTAGCTGTGCTCACTATATCTGTTATTTTTAAATGTTTGAAACCAAATTTTGTTTTGCTCTGAAATTTTTATGCTTCAAAATTTTAATATTATGATAATTTCTATAATAATATTGATAAATGCATTTGTTGAATCTCTAGATGGCGCAAATGTCCGTCTTGATAAATTAATAAATGCAAATGTGGATTTATTGATTTTTTAGGTCGAAAAAATGAGAAGTGAACAATTTGCAAACGTACATTTATTGATTCGTCAGATAGCACATGTATATTTATGGTTGCTTATTGATGGCAAATGTCCGTTTGTTCCTTTCGAAGCTGTGCTAATTTGTGTTAATGACAAGCTGG